AACAAAGTAACTGCAGAAACACTGTTAACAGGTAGCAAAGTGATATTCCCATTCAGGGCCACCGGCACATTGGTCACATACTGAGTCTGTCCTGAGAGGACATTATTAGCCAGGCCTTGGAGGGGGACAGCCTGCTGGAGTAGATTTGGCATAGCAGCAATGATGTTGCCTCCACTTCCTCAATTTGCGATGATCTGTTGGTTTGCACCTGGTATAATCTGTATTTGTCCAGAACCGCCCTGCCGCACTTGGGCCCCAGTAGCACCAAATTGCAGCTGTTGCCCATCAATGGTCTGGAACTGTGGGATTACCTGATACTGAATATTAGGCATCACACCAGGTAGTCCTGTCAGGACTTGCTGGTTCTGTAAGTTGGAGGTGGCAGCCACAACATACTGCCCACCAGAGACGGTACGATTCTTGGAAGACTCACTGCCATTGCTGCCATTGGTACTGCTGCCACTCTGTTCCTTTGAGGTAGGAGTAGCCCCAGAGGAGGAAGAGATGATCTGCCAGCCATTGGCACCCTGTGAGAGTTGTGTAGCTGTGAGGTCAAGCTCACTGGTGCCCCCTGACTGGCTTGGGCCCTGGGAGTTGTTGCTGTTTTCATTGGGTGATTCAATTCGGCTGCAAGTTGCTGCCAACAGAGCCAAAGGGGATGGCTGGGATTCCTACCCAAAAAAATGAGAGGGAAAGAATTAGTTTAATGACATCCAGCTGCCAGCCTAGGGGGCAATATACAACAAATAAACAACAAACAGTGCAGAAAAACTAAGAGCAAAAAACCCCCCAAAAAACAGCCTACCGCCTGAAGGGTCCCAGGTTCAATTCTAGTCAAGGGCACATGCCTGCCTGAGTTAACAGCTTGATCCCGTGTGGTGTGGGCAGGAGGCAGCGACCAATGAATCTCTCTCATCATTGATGTTTCAACCTCTCTCTCTCTCCCCCTTCCTCTCTGAAGTCAATTAAAAAAAATATGTATTAAGCACTACCTGGTTTGGCTCAGTGGATAGAGCAGGGGTGGGCGGACCAAAGGGTCTCAGGTTCAATTCTGGTCAAGGGCACATGCCTGTAGAGTGTCAGCCTATGGACTGAAAGGTCCTGGGTTCAATTCCAGTCAAGGACACATGCCCGGGTTGTGGGCTCGATCCCCAATAGGGGGGATATAGGAGGCAGCCAATCAATGATTCTCTTTCATCACTGATGTTTCTGTCTCTCCCTCTTCCTTCCTCTCTGAAATCAATAAAAAATATATTTAAAAAATTTATATACACATATTTTTAAAAAACAACAAACATATGAAAAAAATCTGTTGCTGAAATTCTCATCTTTGGGGAGTCATCTCCAAGTCACCTATCTCTCTGTACTTACTTCCCTATCTATAAAGTGGTTAGCCCCTTCCTAAAACTTATTCTGTGAAAAAAAACATCTAAGACTATACATCCTCTCTCAACACTTTCTCCTCTCTGTCCTGATCGTTCCTTACCTGTCCTCCTCCTCCTCCTCCTCCTCCACTGCTGCTGCTACTGCCTGTGCTGCTGCTTCGAGCCTGAGAAAAGGCACCACCACCATTACCATTGCCCCCATTATTGCCACCAACTCCTTTCTCAATCTTCACCACGGCTGTCATTTCATCCATGGAGTGATCTTGGTCTAAAAAGAATTAAAAGATAAACAATTTAAAGTTGGGGAAAGAAAGGGTTGGGGGAAGGAAAAGGGTAAGGTGAGGAAGGGTAGAGGAGGTTATGAGGAAACAGACATGACTAAAAGGTGAAAGGCTGGGGGGTGGGGGGGTTGTGTGGATGGAAGAGAAAGGACCATTGTAGGACATATAGGATATGAACTAGGCTCACTGATGCCAAACTGGGTCTCAACTCTCCTTTTCACAAACTAAACTCAGAAAACATTGAAAAGATGCTTTTGGTATAGGAAATGTGAAAGGCCGTGGGCATGTTGAAAGAGTTTCAAAAGAAAAAGTATGGGGGGGGGGGGGATAGGTTAAGGCAAAAAACAACATGTGAATGTATAGAAAGCTTGCTAAAATTAGGATCAAAGGAGAAGAATGAGGAAAATTCAAATACAAAACGTAACAAAAGGAAAGAAGGGGGAAAAAGAAAAGAGATAAAAGGTGTGAGTAGGGAAACATTTGTGAATTCTGTTTAAGGGACTAAAGGGGTCCAGGGATTAGAAATCTGGAGGTTTCCGGGCGGACTGAGGGCGGACCCTAGAGGGAAAGGGCGGTTTCGGGGTGAGGGGCGTGGAAAGGGCGGGACGGTAGG